ATTGTAGAACTGCAGCCCTTGCTTTGCCGATCCGCACCCTCACATCTGCATCGGATAAACCTTGATTGTCAATAATGCTGCCCAGATATGTAAAGGTGTTAACATCCTCCAAGGCATCTCCATCAAGAGTGATTTGGTTGGTGGATGTTGTGTTGCATCGTAGAATTTTGCTTTTTCCTTTATGTATGTTGAGACCTGCTGATGCAGAGGCTGTTGCTACACTTGTCGTCTTCTCTTGCATTTGTTGTTGCGTGTGTTATGGAAGAGCCAGGTCATCTGCGTAGTCCAGATCGTCCAGAAGCGTCCTAGCTGTCCACTGAATACCGTGCTTCCCTCCAGATGTTGACGTCTTCATAATCCAGTCGATGATCAGGGGAAAGAGAAAGAGTGAGAGTAAGCAACCTTGCCTGACACCGGTCTTCACCTCAAAAAAGTCTGTTAGCTGTCCTTTATGTACGATTTTGCAGTTGAATCCATCATAAGAATTCCGTATGATGTTAACTATTTTCTCAGACACACCGTAGTGTCGAAGAAGCCTCCACAGTGTTTTCGTATCCACGCTATCGAATGCCTTCTCGTAGTCGATGAAGTTGATGTAGAGTGGTGAGTTCCATTCAATTGATTGTTCCATAATGATCCGTAATGTAGCAATTCGGTCAGTACACGATCGATCCTTACGAAATCCGGCCTGTTGATCTGGAAGTTGGGCGTCTACGAAGTCCTTCACTCTGTTTAACAATACCCTGTTGAAGACTTTGCCTGGTATTGAGACAAGAGTGATGCCCCTGTAGTTCTCACACTTGCTCAGGTCGCCTTTCTTTGGTATTTTGATGAGGTATCCTTCTTTCCAATCTGATGGTACTTGTTCCTCATCCCAAATCTTCTTGAAGGGGATGTGAAATATTTTCTCAGTAGCTTCCGCATCTGCTTTCATTGCCTCTGCTGGAATGTTGTCTGGTCCTGCTGCTTTGCCTCTCTTGATTTGTCTGATGGCCATGCTAATCTCCTCATTTGTAGGTACGCTAATATCAATTGGGAGGTCCGTTCTGGTTTACGATAGTTTCCGGCGAGCGTCTTTGTAGTTTCGTACAATTGTCTCAAGTTTCCTTCTCTTACAGCCTTTTCCGCCGTCATTGCTAGATCTTCCACATATTTTCGTTTGCCAGCTCTGATCATTTTCTTCACTTCCCTGTTTGCTTCTGTGTATGCAGCTTGTGCCTTAACTGTCTGTGCTCTTGTTCGGCTGACATTGATTGCTGCCCTCTTGTTCCTCCTTCGATTTTTGCAAGAGTACCGACAGACATCCATTGGATGGCGTTCTTTGTAATGTCCTCTTTCTTTGTTTTGAAGGATGCTTTAATGATCCTGGGTCCATGAGGTTCCCATCCTATCAGTGCCTTTTGTGCATGTTTGGACAGCATCATTGTCACTCCTTGTGTATGTGAAGCATTTTCCTCTTCATGACCAGAGTATAACAGCATTTCCCCTGAAGCTAGTCTCAGTTGTCCTAGCTGTGTCCACTGCGTTTCACTGATGCCGAGCAGCTGGAGATCGTATCTTTTCATTCATGCAGCAACTTGAAATAGTCTTCCAGTCTCCTACAACGTACGAACATTCCATGTACCTAAAATTATGGTTGCTCTGGTTTTCAGAAGGTGTATCGGCACCGTGACTTCCGAGGAAACTCGGCTTTTATCACGCGACATAATTCTTTTTCCAACTCCCAGGGCAGATTTAAAATGGTTTAAATTAATTTTTCTGGTTGACGTTTTCTTGGCAAGTTAGTTTATATTTGGGATGAGGGCGCCAACCCCATGTTCAGCTTCTCCTCCTTTATCCGGGCTTAGGACCGGCAGTAACCCTGAAGGGTTTACAGGCGGAGTTCAATTCAATTTAAGGTTACATTTAAGCTGATAAGACATCAACAGTAATCAATCGTAAAACGGCAGTCCAATGTAATTATAACGACTAGTTCAAAATGGCTATCTATGCAAAATGTGTTTTAACCAGCCAATTTGTCAATAGTCGTCGATTTAACCAGTGAAATGCTAGGGAAAAAGTGGATAAACTGCGATTACCAATCAATGAGTGATCTAGTCACAAAATGAGAATTTCGCCCTACAATGTTATTCTTACTAGTATCGTTTTGAATTTGTTTTAGAATTGATGTGTGTGTGTGTGTGTGTGCTGTATTGGTAGAAAAAGCATGAGTTACGTAATCAAGATAGAGATTCAATATTTAAGGCATATATTTACCTTTCAAATAATAGGTAATTCTACTTGCTGTGATTTAATCAGTCGACCAGCGTCATAAGGCTTAACATTGAGTTTTATCCTTTGATATATCAAATTCTTATATTGCGACATATGCCCCAGTGTTATATTCTGATGATAGTATAATGGAAGACAAGTTGAATAAGTAGTAAATCTTGAAATCCCCTAAAAAAAATTTGCTATGATTGACTGTGAAAGAGTCACTTCTCACAAGTCCATTAATAGGAAAGTTCCACTTGTCACAT